TAACCGACCTTGTATGACGTCCATTGTATCTTCCAGTAATGTAACCGACCTTGTATGGCGTCCATTGTACCTTCCAGTAATGTACCTTCCAGTAATGTAACCGACCTTGTATGACGTCCATTGTACCTTCCAGTAATGTAACCGACCTTGTATGACGTCCATTGTACCTTCCAGTAATGTAACCGACCTTGTATGACGTGCACTGTACCTTCCAGTAATGTACTTTCCAGTAATGTAACCGACCTTGTATGACGTCCATTGTATCTTCCAGTAATGTAACCGACCTTGTATGGCGTCCATTGTACCTTCCAGTAATGTACCTTCCAGTAATGTAACCGACCTTGTATGACGTGCATTGTACCTTCCAGTAATGTACCTTCCAGTAATGTAACCGACCTTGTATGACGTGCACTGTACCTTCCAGTAATGTAACCGACCTTGTAGGACGTGCACCGTACCTTCCAGTAATGTAACCTTGTTTGATTTGCACTGTACCTTCCAGTAATGTACCTTCCAGTAATGTAACCGACCTTGTATGACGTGCACTGTACCTTCCAATAATGTACCTTCCAGTAATGTAACCGACCTTGTATGACGTCCATTGTACCTTCCAGTAATGTAACCGACCTTGTATGACGTGCACTGTACCTTCCAGTAATGTACTTTCCAGTAATGTAACCGACCTTGTATGACGTCCATTGTATCTTCCAGTAATGTAACCGACCTTGTATGGCGTCCATTGTACCTTCCAGTAATGTACCTTCCAGTAATGTAACCGACCTTGTATGACGTCCATTGTACCTTCCAGTAATGTACCTTCCAGTAATGTAACCGACCTTGTATGACGTGCACTGTACCTTCCAGTAATGTAACCGACCTTGTAGGACGTGCACTGTACCTTCCAGTAATGTACTTTCCAGTAATGTAACCGACCTTGTATGACGTCCATTGTATCTTCCAGTAATGTAACCGACCTTGTATGGCGTCCATTGTACCTTCCAGTAATGTACCTTCCAGTAATGTAACCGACCTTGTATGACGTGCACTGTACCTTCCAGTAATGTACCTTCCAGTAATGTTACCGACCTTGTATGACGTCCATTGTACCTTCCAGTAATGTAGCCGAACTTGTATGGCGTCCATTGTACCTTCCAGTAATGTACCTTCCAGTAATGTAACCGACCTTGTAGGACGTGCACTGTACCTTCCAGTAATGTACCTTCCAGTAATGTAACCGACCTTGTATGGCGTCCATTGTACCTTCCAGTAATGTACCTTCCAGTAATGTAACCGACCTTGTATGACGTGCACTGTACCTTCCAGTAATGTACCTTCCAGTAATGTAACCGACCTTGTATGACGTCCATTGTACCTTCCAGTAATGTAACCGACCTTGTATGACGTCCATTGTACCTTCCAGTAATGTACCATCCAGTAATGTAACCGACCTTGTATGACGTGCACTGTACCTTCCAGTAATGTACCTTCCAGTAATGTTACCGACCTTGTATGACGTCCATTGTACCTTCCAGTAATGTAACCGACCCTGTATGACGTCCATTGTACCTTCCAGTAATGTAACCGACCTTGTATGACGTGCATTGTACCTTCCAATAATGTAACCGAACTTGTATGACGTCCATTGTACCTTCCAGTAATGTAACCGACCTTGTATGACGTCCATTGTACCTTCCAGTAATGTAACCGACCTTGTATGACGTGCACTGTACCTTCCAGTAATGTACTTTCCAGTAATGTAACCGACCTTGTATGACGTCCATTGTATCTTCCAGTAATGTAACCGACCTTGTATGGCGTCCATTGTACCTTCCAGTAATGTAACCGACCTTGTACCTTCCAGTAATGTAACCGACCTTGTATGACGTCCATTGTACCTTCCAGTAATGTAACCGACCTTGTATGACGTCCATTGTACCTTCCAGTAATGTAACCGACCTTGTATGACGTGCACTGTACCTTCCAGTAATGTACTTTCCAGTAATGTAACCGACCTTGTATGACGTCCATTGTATCTTCCAGTAATGTAACCGACCTTGTATGGCGTCCATTGTACCTTCCAGTAATGTACCTTCCAGTAATGTAACCGACCTTGTATGACGTGCATTGTACCTTCCAGTAATGTACCTTCCAGTAATGTAACCGACCTTGTATGACGTGCACTGTACCTTCCAGTAATGTAACCGACCTTGTAGGACGTGCACCGTACCTTCCAGTAATGTAACCTTGTTTGATTTGCACTGTACCTTCCAGTAATGTACCTTCCAGTAATGTAACTGACCTTGTATGACGTGCACTGTACCTTCCAATAATGTACCTTCCAGTAATGTAACCGAACTTGTATGACGTCCATTGTACCTTCCAGTAGGGTAACCGACCTTGTATGGCGTCCATTGTACCTTCCAGTAATGTACCTTCCAGTAATGTAACCGACCTTGTATGACGTGCACTGTACCTTCCAGTAATGTACCTTCCAGTAATGTTACCGACCTTGTATGACGTCCATTGTACCTTCCAGTAATGTAACCGACCTTGTATGACGTCCATTGTACCTTCCAGTAATGTAACCGACCTTGTATGACGTGCATTGTACCTTCCAGTAATGTAACCGAACTTGTATGACGTCCATTGTACCTTCCAGTAATATACCTTCCAGTAATGTAACCAACCTTGTATGACGTCCATTGTACCTTCCAGTAATGTAACCGACCTTGTATGACGTGCACTGTAATTTCCAGTAATGTACCTTCCAGTAATGTAACCGAACTTGTATGACGTCCATTGTACCTTCCAGTAATATACCTTCCAGTAATGTAACCGACCTTGTATGACGTCCATTGTACCTTCCAGTAATGTAACCGACCTTGTATGACGTGCACTGTACCTTCCAGTAATGTACCTTCCAGTAATGTAACCGACCTTGTATGGCGTCCATTGTACCTTCCAGTAATGTACCTTCCAGTAATGTAACCGACCTTGTATGACGTGCACTGTACCTTCCAGTAATGTACCTTCCAGTAATGTTACCGACCTTGTATGACGTCCATTGTACCTTCCAGTAATGTAGCCGAACTTGTATGGCGTCCATTGTACCTTCCAGTAATGTACCTTCCAGTAATGTAACCGACCTTGTATGGCGTCCATTGTACCTTCCAGTAATGTACCTTCCAGTAATGTAACCGACCTTGTATGACGTGCACTGTACCTTCCAGTAATGTAACTTCCAGTAATGTAACCGACCTTGTATGACGTCCATTGTACCTTCCAGTAATGTAACCGACCTTGTATGACGTCCATTGTACCTTCCAGTAATGTACCATCCAGTAATGTAACCGACCTTGTATGACGTGCACTGTACCTTCCAGTAATGTACCTTCCAGTAATGTTACCGACCTTGTATGACGTCCATTGTACCTTCCAGTAATGTAACCGACCCTGTATGACGTCCATTGTACCTTCCAGTAATGTAACCGACCTTGTATGACGTGCATTGTACCTTCCAATAATGTAACCGAACTTGTATGACGTCCATTGTACCTTCCAGTAATGTAACCGACCTTGTATGACGTCCATTGTACCTTCCAGTAATGTAACCGACCTTGTATGACGTGCATTGTACCTTCCAGTAATGTAACTTTCCAGTAATGTAACCGACCTTGTATGACGTCCATTGTATCTTCCAGTAATGTAACCGACCTTGTATGGCGTCCATTGTACCTTCCAGTAATGTACCTTCCAGTAATGTAACCGACCTTGTATGACGTGCATTGTACCTTCCAGTAATGTACCTTCCAGTAATGTAACCGACCTTGTATGACGTGCACTGTACCTTCCAGTAATGTAACCGACCTTGTAGGACGTGCACCGTACCTTCCAGTAATGTAACCTTGTTTGATTTGCACTGTACCTTCCAGTAATGTAACTGACCTTGTATGACGTGTATTGTACCTTCCAGGAATGTAGCCGACTATGTATCACGTGACACAGAATACGTGATGACCAGCCCAGCCCCTTTATATCCCCACAGGCAAGGTAATAGCGGCATGGGGAACGAACCTCCGACCTGCCTCTCATCGGACATGCACTCTTTCCACTGGACCACTGAGGCGGTGTTTGCAGTCGGGGCAGCAGTGAGTGAGTTTAGTTTTACGCCGCACTCAGCAATATTCCAGCTATATGGCGGCTTATAGTCCACTAAACTGGATCGAATAGTCAAGATCTGGGATTTGTTTTCCTGGCATTATTTTGATCAGAAATGGAAGGTCGTTGGATGTTTACAGTGACCAATAAAACGAGTCTACTGGCAAGTTCAAAGCCTGAATAATGTTCGTTCGTGACTAAATGAGTTGGGTCTACGCCGCTCTAAACAATATTCCAGCAAAATACAAAAATGGGCTCCACAAGTATCCGTGTGGGCAATCGAACCCGGGCCTGACGAGCGAACGCTTTAACCAACCGCCCCTGTCCACTCAAGAAGTGAATTGGCTTCGTTAATTAGGACTCCGTCGACCAATAGCCGAATGTGTGTTAGTGTGTGTGCGCATGTGTTCTTTTTTCTCCTTGTCCCATCAGAAATAATGCCTCAGTTTAACATTGATACCGTAGAATACAGATATAATACGATATACAGACTCCGAGCCGACCAATCATTGTTTTACTCCCGTATTGCCGAGCGCCAGGCAGGGAAACAACAAATTCCATCTTTAACGTTGTTTGGTATGGGTTCGAACCCCGACCTTCTGCTCTACGGGAAGACCTTGTACACTAACCCATGTCGGTGATGGTTAAAGAACTAAAGTGAGTGAGTATGGTTTTATGCCACTTTTAGCAATATTCCAGCAATATCACGCGGAGGACACCAGACATAGGCTTCACACATTATACCCATGTGGAGAATCGAACCCGGGTCTTTGGCGCGACGAGCGAACACTTAAACCACTAGGCTACCTGACCCGTACAAAACTAGAGAGAACCAAACTTGTAACATATATACATTTATTTGACAACATAGATGCTTTGTAACAAAACATCGTACAATACACGGTTTGACATACACGTACTACCGACTTGTCTACTGTGTCCTCGAGAGCTCAAGTCAAAACCTACACGTTTCAGAACTAAGGCAAAGTTAGTCTAAAACAATGCATGTATTTTGTGAACTATATACAAAGTAATATATGTTACTGTCGTATCTGATTATCTGCGAACGTTAGTAACCTTACTGCAGATTCATTTGAGTTAATAAAAATATTTTTTAAATAAAAAAAATATCCAAGGTTGCACGTTGATGCGTTTCGACAAGTCAGGAATGTCTTTCCAAATTTGAAAATAATTTTCCTTTCACATACAAAGATGCATGGCATCTCGTTTTACAAATGTAATATCACAGTCGCAACATTGAATAAGGTCATTGGTTGAGATTTCGATGTAGGGTCCCCCTGTCCATCAACTTCCGGGTCGGGGAACCAGGCCGAAATGCGTCCATGCAGTGATGTAAGGTGTTAATGAAGAAATAATGTCTAGCAAAACGTCGTCACATGTTGAGATTTCCGCCCAATATATCCTATCGTCTTATTCATTGAGTATTGTCGTTCTCACTATGACCTCAGTGACGGAGTAGGGGTCGCAGTTGGATGATGGGCGTCTGTCTTCGAGGTAACCGTAGCCATCTTCAGCCACCTGGCGGGGAATACGGATACTAGCTCCGCGGTTAGCGACACCTGCCGAGAAGTCGTGAATGGATGAAGTCTCGTGGTGTCCCGTGAGACGTCTCTCGTTGTCCTTGCCTTCACGTGGATCGTATGCTTTGATATGCCGTACGTGGTGTTTGGATAGTTTCTCGATGGCTTCTTCAATAACCCTGTGAAGAGATGATGACAGTTATTAACTGGGTAGTTTAGCGTTGTAGTATTTAACATGCGACAATCTTACGTGACCTTAGTGAGAAGGATTTTATGCCGCTTCTATCAATATTCCAACAAAATCATATCGGGGATCTCCAGAAATGGGCTTAGCAAATTTTATCCATGTCGAAGTCGAACCAGGTTCTTCGGCGCGACGAGCGAATGCTTTAACCAGTAGGCTACCCCACTCACCGCCCGTACGTGACTTAGAGTCATTAAAAAAATGTATGACATGAAAATGCACGAAATCTATTTCCAATAGTGCTGTCGATTTCAATGAAAGCTAAAATAATTTTCTAACGAAATTCCCATGCACGTGGGAGTATGGTTTTTCGTCGCTTTGAGCAATATTCCAGCAATATTAATGCGGGTGACACAAGAAATAGGTTTCACACAATGTACCCTTGCGAACCTGGGTCTTTGTCGTGACGAAAACACACTTTAACCATTCGACTACCCACCGCCCCCCTGCATGTAATATTGTCAATATCAATAGTCTGTGTGAGCCTGAAGTGCTAATACCAAAATGTGTGCACCAGTGTGTTTTTGTCAAATACTATATTTCATCTTGACAACAATCATCTAGTCTTAGTGCTAAGGTAGCTTTATGGAACCGGTGCCAGAGGCCCAGATAAGCTGCGTCTCCGGGTAAAATACGCATAGAATTACGCATTGAAAAATAATTGTTGCGTACCAATTACGCATTTAAAATGTTAGATACGCAAAAAGTTTAAAACAAATGCGTACGGAATATATTTATAAAAATCGCTTGCGTAATGAAAAAGACATCGATTGCTATCAAGTTGTACTGTTAGTATAGGACAAGTGTTGTACTGTCAGTATAGGATGAGTGATTTTTTATGAAATAATTTCCATTATATTTAAGTTGGTTTTGATTAGGTATGACATAAGGCAGAACATACCTGCTTAGTAAACTTACTCAATGACGTAATACTTAGGTGAGTAAAGTGACTGAAATACGCACATATTTGAAAGCAGTGGGTAACGGAAAATGAAATACCCACTCAACATTCATAATACCCACTCCAAAAAAATACAGTGGGTACAGTACCCACATGAGCTAAATCTTATCTGGAGCTCTGCGGTGCCTAAGGTTACAGGAATCTCCACACTATAACAGGTTTACAATAGTCGTAGAGATGAGTTTGCTTTGAGGAACGGAGCCCTGTGCTATAAATCAACAACTGCAAATGCAGGGCATAAACATAGCAGTAGCTGCTGAAAGAAGAGATTAAACATCTCTTGTACCAGGAGCCTTTATGTTGAACAATTAATAACAGAAATAAAACGAAACAATATATCTATCCAGCCCTGTTTACGCCAAGTATATTGTCACTGTTATCCATTAACACATAAATAAAATGTGGTGTAAACAAATCCGTGTCAAAGTAACAACGTATCGGATGGCATCAACCACGTCAAAGGAGCGACACCCTATCCCACCATGGCGGTCTCCCCACGTGACGCCACAGTAGTCTGGGTCGGGTTTTCGTCAAGGGTCACTGTGGATGTCATTTATACTTATCACATATCAATGTAAGCCTTAAAAAGGCTCCAGGAGGTATTTAAATGCCCCGAAGGAGAGCATATATTCTCTTCCAAAACACGCAGTTGTTTCATGCAACGAAATGGATTTTCAGATTTTGTGAACGCAAATTATGATTTTTTTATTTTATTTTGCAAAGCCCTCTTGAATTTGAACACGATTTTCAGAATATTTTAAAGATCATAGTGAATTCTACCACGAGATAACTCACTGATTATATCACTTTGAGGTATAACATTTCCGACTGAAACCTCTGTCGAAATAAACATTTTCACGCACGCGCACACGCGCTCGCAAACACATACGTAATCGTTCGTCCTTTACAAATAATGAATTCTCTTGTCGAAAATACTGTATCAATTTGTTTAATAGTATACATACTTGAGGCCGCCTTTGTTTCTCATGGACAGGGTGCTGTAGTTGGTGTGAGCGCCAGCGCCGTTCCAGTCGCCCTCCATGGGTTTCGGATCAAGGGTAACAACAACCCCAAACTCTTCTGCGACTCTGTGGAGGAGGTACCTGCCTACCCATAGGTGGTCTCCCATGGATATACCCTCACAGGGCCCCACTTGGAACTCCCACTGGAAAGTGGTGAAGCATGGGGGTTATTGGGATCGTAATTGCATAACCTCAACAGGGCCGCATGGCAATACCAGTGATAGGACATCGTGACTAGAGATTAACCTAAAACCTTAGGATTGGAAACCTTATTTGACTTCTTTTATTTGATTATGATATTAAGGGATGCAGACAAAACAGAATAGGGTGATCGTGTCGGTTTTTCGAAATATGTGATTCATTAGGGGAAACGTTCCGGCAATCATGAGGGTAAAAAGGGGTGGGTCGAGAACCGCTTTATGTTTACTGACCTGTCCAGGCATAACCTCCGCGTTACATCCGGCAATCTTGACTCCTGCATACAGACACGCCCTGTAGTGAGCCTCAACTACGTCACGGCCGTACACCTTGTTGGCTCCGACACCACAGTAGTAGGGACCTGGAAACAAGAGCGAGTGAGTCAGTGAGGTTTTACTCAGCCCTTAGCAATATTCTAACGATACCACGGGTACCACAAATGGGATTTACATATTGCACCCGTGTGGAGGTGGACACAAGCGGTTACAATGTATCAGAACTGAACCGTTCAGTTCACAAAGACAGGTCTACCACTGCAGACAGTTAATCTAAACTTGACCCATGTTCACGAACTGAAGGTGGTTTGTGAATTTATTTATATTCACGTTAGCTATATCCCTGCAATATCACGACAGTTTCAAATAAATTGAAGTCTGAACTTGGTAAACCCGAGGCTCAAAACATGTGCACGTTCATCACTCCACCATGAAAAACAACAACCTCACACACTGCAATGCTGATGCTATGGCAAACAGACAAGCATGCAGCACCGCAGGGCTGTTCTACTGAGGAAGCGCTTAGGGTGCTCGAGGTCTGTGTTCTCGTAGGTGAGGTGAAATTGGGTTTAACGTCGCGCTGGAGAATATTTCGCTCATATGACGACGTGCATGCGTGTGTATGTGTATGTGCAGCTGCTTGTACTAGCCCAGACTGAAGCTGGTTTTATAGTGCTAGCCCACTGAGATACCATGCCGCAGTGAAGCATGAATACCCCACTCAGACACAGTATACTGACTCCGAGCCGATCAGTCCTTGTTGTACCAATTAATGCCGAGCGCCAGGCAGGGACCAACAAGTACCATATTTTAACGACTTTTGGTATGACGCGGTCGGGGATCGAACCCGCGACCTTCCGCTCTCCGGGCGGACGCTCTAACCACTACACCACGGAGGCGGTCTGTTCCCCTAGGAGAGTCCAGGGTTGGGTACTGGTAACCTGTTGTTCATTTTGGAGACAAGGGTAGGTACAAAGGACGGGGCAGACATGGGTACTGGGGATGACTGACATGGGGTGCGGGGGACCTGTAATGGGGACCAGCAGAGTGAGTGAGTGAGTTTAGTTTTACGCCGCACTATTCCAGCTATATGGCGGCGGTCTGTAAATAATCGAGTCTGGACCAGACAATCCAGTGATCAACAGCATGAGCATCGATCTGCGCAACTGGGAACCGATGACATGTGTCAACCAAGTCAGCGAGCCTGACCACCCGATCCCGTTAGTCGCCTCTTAGGACAAGCATGGGTTACTGAAGATCAATATTCTAGCCCGGACCTTCACTGATGGGACCAGCAGAAATGCTGTACTGGGAAACTGTTCACTGGAATGCTGAGAGACTGACCTTGGGGACCAGGGAAGCCGTTCTTAGGCCAACCAAATGGGTGGCCATCATAGTCTAGCAGAGTGTATTCCTGCTCAATACCGAACCAGGGGTAATCCTGTAGCGCCCTCTCCATCGCCTGGTTACACGTCATGCGACGGTTGGTTTCTGAAACAGACACGGTGATAATTGAGAGTTGCAGCAAAGGGAGGCAACTCAGTACATCTATTTCATTTTCTTTTCGCCACTGGGAACGATACAAGACGTGGTTGCAAAGACATTTTGTTTCAGATAGTGGAAATATTCAATTACCTGCTGGCTTTTTGTTGTATTTGTAGACTTCACACAGCACCAATTTGTTCTTGCCGCGACGGAAGGGGTCTCTGAACAACGCCACCGGCGTGAGGTACATGTCGGAGTTGGACCCCTCAGCCTGATACGTGCTGGACCCATCGAAGTTCCACTCTGGGCAGTCTGAAGTACATCAAGTATAACCATTAACATGTGGGGATGGCGTGGGACAGATTTCAGACTAACATTTTGTTTCTTATATGAAACTTCTTTTTTTTTAAAAATCTTCTGTGTTTTATAATATAAAACAGAAATGCCGAAAATACTTTACTTTCAACTGATAATTAAAAAGTGCACACTTGCCAAAGAATCGAGGATCATATTTTATTTAAAGGTCACTATGCCAAACTAAACCGCTATTTCAATATGTCCATCGTATTTCAGCATGTATGTAGGACCTCGATGTCTGCTAAAGGAAGCAAGTCTAGATCTCCTCAGGTTCAGCCTGACTCTCCCATCTCACAGGGGCTCCTTTTCAATTTAAATGGGTTTACTTGTTTCTCTAAAAATTATATATATTCAGATACTAAGAGTTAGTCTACCGATCTACCTTTGGGAGATTTGGGTTCGTAGTCCAGTGTCCGGCACTTTGACCGGATGCCCTCCCCTGTGCCGTCTATCCATAAGTATTCTGCCATGACCCGGTCATCTGGCTGGTCAAGTTTGAGAAACTTTTCAAGAGTTTGCTTGTCGGTGAGTGATGTCGTCATCTTGGCTAGCTGGAACAATAGACAACGATTGATAAAGACTGGCTTCACCTCTTTCCTCAACAAGCCCTGTTAACAGCTCATCCCAAAATATTGACTTTGATTTCTCATATTAAAATAACCCATAAAAATCCGGGTTAGAATTGGTCTTCGGCAACCCATGCTTGTCGTAAGAGACGAATAACGGGATCGGGTGGTCAGGCTCGCTGACTTGGTTGACACATGTTATCGTATCCCAATTGCGTAGATCGATGCTCTTACTGCTAAACAATTGATTGTCTGGTCGAGACTCGATTATTTACAGACTGCCGCCATATAGCTTGAGTATTGCTGAGTGCGGCGTCAAACTACAAAGCAAAACATATTGGCATAAGCAGATATGCACGATAGCACGCAAATGCCATTGCCTGAAAAACACAAAACATTTTCCCATTTTTCTTGAGCGAATGACATGAATTTTAACACAGCTTTGAAAATATTCCAGTCAGATCACTTCCCTATTTCACCGAGTGACATCACGTGGTACACTCATCATGTTGAGTATGACATACGGTAATGTAATAATTATCCTCGTGTGTTTCGGTGAGATAAATACCGTTTTATTTCTGATATGTGATATTTGTGACAGATAAATAAACTTGGCTACTCATCTCTGTTATAACATCTTATCATCCTATATACTTCGGCGATAACCCAAAAGCTTGATGCTCGTGTATATATTACGCCTACATGCAGACTATATATATGCATTATGCATCGTCTGTAACGACCGTCAGCTGCCATGGTGCATGATGTCACGACAGTTCGTACATTCTGAGCGGCAATTCACTACTCAATCTCAGACTCAGACAACAGAGGCTCAATATTAAAAATTACATAGAAATAATACAGCAACTAAGTTAACAGCAGGTTTAGATACAGAGATACAAATCCCTATTAATTCCAAAAGAAGAACTATAGACTGTATGGAGCAAGCGCAGCGTACCTTGCGATCTTGATTTTTGCAATATTCCAGCATTATCAATGCGGGGGACACCAGAAATGGGCTCCACACATTGTACCCATGTGGGGAATCGAACCCGGGTCTTCGGCGTGACAAGCGAACACTTTAACCACTAGGCTACCACATCACCTCAGGCTCACACAAACTAGGATAAAACTATTAACCAGTACGAGGTTATATTCACTGAAAAAATACAGACATCAAAAACGGACATAACTTATACACAGATGCATAATTTTTTGTGTGGTTAAAACAAAGAAAAAGAAGGGCTGACCAAACCGAACACACCACAGGGTCATGTGACTGAGTATGGTTTTATGCCGCTTCTAGCAATATGCCAGCAATATTCCAGCAGTATCAAGTCGGGGGACCTCGGAACTGGGCCTCACATATTACGACCATGTTGGGAAACGAACCCGGATCTTTGGCGTGACGAGGGAACGCTGTAACCACTCGACCACCCCACCCAGTAACTTACACGTAATATTCTCCACTAACAAACTCGCACCTGTGTTGGCTTTATTCATTAGTTACCTGATCCAATTGCCAGGTATGATTCAATATGGCACAACCTGAATAATTACATTGACTGGAGCCCGGATTTTTCCACTGGAGATTTAGTGGTTTTGACATTTTAACTTGACATATTCTACATTGCAATCTAAACCAGACTTGTTTCACTCTAGCACGGCCTCGTTGGAGTCAGGTTCTGGTGTATCATCTTTGACACATATATACTATTGCAGCGCGAACTCGCATCTCGGTCACATAAAGTTCACCCTGTAGCAAACTTTAAGTGAACACACAAACCGAACCACGCGGTCGCCTCTCCGCGGTAGCGCACAACCACTATCCTTGATCGGGGCATGAACAAATATCGCTTTTACCTCGTCAGATTCGTCCTAAAGATCTGCTACCGCGAGCCCCAAACTAGCGTATATAATATAACGGCGGTTGTCCAGCTGTCAGGCACGATCAGCTGGTGTGCCTGGCGACCTTCACCTTCAGGAATCGATACTCCTTTGTGCACAGATTATGCTGAGTGCACACAGATCTGTGGAGCTTACATTAGGGGCAACCACTCGCAATGAAAAATACGTTTGCAATATATGCACGTCCTGCACGTGATTTCCGTATGTGCTTTGTACAACATCAGTTTGTCAAGCTGGGTAGTAATATACCGAAAGATACAGCTTTGACCAGAGATTATATATTATCTATTATATGGTCTCTGCTTTGACCGACATTGATTTCTAGAAATTACGCACCTGGGTTCATGTGTGATAACAACGGGTTCAAGGTTCTCCGCGACAGCAGGGTTATATGAGCGTTGAATAACACATGATTAGATCGGGTTTGAATTAAATCACGAAAACAAAAACTTTTGTACTGGATTTAATTTAGCTTCCCATACCAAGTTGCCTATCACAGAAGAAACAGGAGGTCGAGTTCACCTTTTCCGCGTGCGATGAGGTAATATTTTATATGGCAACACATTTTTGGTTACAGAACAATAACATTCACCCCTCACTCGTATTGCAACAAATATTCTACAGATAACTTGTCTTGTTTGGAAACAGGAAATTGTAAGATTTGTCAGATAACAGCTATTCTTGATTAACCCCCGGTGTACCAGTATTTAGATTTTTCAAAAGGAAGATAAAAGCACTTATTTATATTTTTGCGTGTGCGTTGGAATGCGTGTGCGTTCGAGTCCAGACGGATGTAGGTTTTACAGTGACTGCCAACTGAGAAATTATGTCACAGTTTAATATGAATATACCACACATTGCAAACCGAATGTCAGCCTACTTCTCCTTGTTCTATTCCTGTAATGACTAGCGTCAGGCAGGGTAAGAACAAGTACCATTTTTAACATCTTTATCGTATGACGTGGCCGAAGGATCGAATACGCCAGCTTGGGAGTGGGATGCCAGCCAGTACAGTTGAAGTAGGCGAAAAGTAATCAATGAGGATGAATTCCGTCCACATCCCATGCTTCAAAGTTTGCCCGTGTTAGGGCAACCTGCCTTTACATGGGCGATTTTTATTAATTCTTACATGAGTTTAAATATTTTTAAAAAATCGAGGAAGAGTCACGGGGTAACATTTTACAATCAATAGTGTTGCGTCATAATACCAGAGCTTGGGCAGGCCGTTGACGAGGGTGATGTAACAGTTGGAACAATAATTCACCTGAACTGTGGTTACAATAGAAACTGTCCATAAACACAATTCACTGATACATTCATTTGAATAATACATAAAAGTCGTAGAAAAAGAACCCTATACGTATATTTTTGCATTGTTTTCAACACACAGCGCTGTGTTGGCCGATCTGTCAAACGCCGACTGCGCGAACAGCTCGACTCTACGGTTTGGTCCAGGTTGAATCAGCAATCAGCTGTTCGCGAACAAAGCTTACAATCATCACCCACCATTGAGGTAACACTGAAGCTTAGTCTATGAATAATTATATCACGTCGGTCATAATATAAGTGTACTTACCTCTGCATATGCGATATTCCCCTGTGATAGTTTGCTGGACAGTAGGCCGCAGTACTATGCCTTGTCGATCGACCCAAGCATTTTTATTTCCTTCACCTCGCAGTAATAGCATTTCATTGGTCAGCGTCCGAGAGAGACGTTTGATTGGCTGGCTAAATTTAGCCGCGTGTCTCGATCATGTGACACTGTCTCTGTGGCTTTCCGAAGCACTGCGATTCTCGGTGAGTTCGGATAGTTTGTAGGTCACATTGACACACATAGGCTTCACGCACTTGACAAGTGAGAGAACATGTTTTTTTAACACTTAACTTTGTTGTAGTAGCACAATATTGAAAATGAGCTTGTTCTAAATTACCTGTTTGTGTAAGAGTGCCGTAAAATGTAAAATGACACCAGAATTTTAATGCCCTCTTGTGTTCATTTAGAAAAGACACGGGACTATCCTTGTCAAGTCCAAGGCCACTTAGCTTCCTCCACCATACCTTAAACGAGGGGTGAAACTGAGAGGTGAAATTGCGATTGAATTTATTTAATACTTTATCTTTATCTGAGTGCATGTTTTGTTTGTATTGTTTGTTGTTTAAAGCCACAATACAGCTAGATCACGACGGTTGAGTGAGTGTGGTTTTACGCCGCTTTTATAGTCCGTTTGGCTCAAAAGCGGACCGATGAATTGCAATCTAACTCGAAAACTCATAAAAATATAATACTCAATGAAACGCTGATCATAATCAAAACATCAGACCAACTCTGTGATTTGTTTGCAGAATTTATGTTCTAAAGTTTAAAAAGTTGTTTAACAAACTATCATTAAAATTTTGACACAGTTCACCATTTGTTACGAGGGAGGAGTGCAGAGAAAGGGGCAGCCAGGTGTTAGAGAAGCACGTGCACAAGTGCCAACAACGTTATTGATTCATTAACCTGTGCTGTGCCGTCTCCATCCTTTCTCGCACACCTGGCTGTCCCTTTCTCTGCACTCGTCCCTCGTAACATATAGTGAATTGTGTCGATATTTTAATGATAGTTTGTTAAACAACTTTTTAATTTTTAGGACATAAATTCTGCAAAAACCTCACAGAGTTGGTCTGAGGTTTTGATTATGATCAGTGTTTCATTGAGTATTTTATGTTCATTAGTCTTCGAGTTAGATTGCAATTCATCGGTCCGCTTTTGAGCCAAACGGACTATAGCAATGTTCCAGCAAAATAACAGCGTGGGACACCAGAAATGGGCTTCAAGCAATGCGCCCATGTGGCGAATCGAATCCTTGTCTACAGAGTGACCTAGTTAAATGTAAGATATTCCAGCATTGTTGGTGATTGGCATTGTCAGGAATACAGCGTTACATGTCGCTTGTCAACTTTAAGTATTTTTTCTATGCTGTGACTCACTCACTCACTCACTCACTCACTCACTCACTATGCCCTCTAGACTAATGCTCAGTCCCAGAATATATATAATTTTGATAGTAACAAATAAACCCATATAAACTGAAATGAACCCCCGGGAGACCAGAGATTCAGAACCTGAGGAAATCTAGACTTGCTTCATTTAGGGCTTTAACATTGCAGGGAGGGCTAGGCTGTAGGGAAAATATTGTGGTTCAGGGACTGTGAGACAGACTAAAATGCCCTCCAGCTTTGGCTTGAATTGGAGTGAACTGTTTGAAGGTCGAGGACACGTTGTAGTGCATATGGACTGACCCAATATACCACCTACACCGCCATTGACATTAGAGCCGTCTATCAGCCAGTGTGTGCATGCAGTTGCTCAACATGTACTGTAGCTCACATGCAAATATTAATACTGTCTGACCCACATGTATGTTGTTGCTATAAATGGACAAAACTATACACATCAATGCAGAACGCTCAGTGTAATGTGAAATTCAATTAGCGCCCATTTTGATTTAATCAGACTCTAGAAATCTTCACCTGAATGACGAACTAATATTTAAAAAAAGTATTTCTTTGATTTTCTTTTTTTCCGGCCTGGTTGGCTTAAATATCTGCCTGAGATTTTTAAAATGTAAATATGTCATCATCAGAAGCAAGTGTTTAGCGATCAGTTAAACTGCAGGAGTTTTCCATTTGTCTGATGTACTGGATTTAGTGAGTGAGGTAGATTTTACGCCGCTTTTAGCATTAATCCATCAATATCGCTTCGAAGTGTGTGTCAATGAGTATGGTAACAGATAGTCTCCCATACAAACCCTGAACCAAATATAGCCAAGAAAACCCATGCATGTCTAAAATATGTGGCAAGACCAGATTACCAGTTTCAGGCTGAAAATGAAGTCTATCCCCCTCCTTTTCATTATATTTTATGATTATTTTTTCTGAACTGTTTTTCTTTTCTTCTGTAAATATGTTCATTTCATAGACTTGATATTAGTCTAGGTAGCAGGCTGGCTTAAAGAAATTTTCCTGAAGTATCGTCGAGGGGTGGAAGTACCTAGTTGTATCGAGTGACCTTCACGCCAAAGATCTCAGAACTGGGCCACACTGACTTAATGAAAAGGTCATTGTAAAAAATCGGTCACAACATACGTGTGTAGCTCCAGTATGTGGTGTCTGTATCACCTGTGTCGTGAGACCGGTGTCTTTCTACATCAGCAACCAAGTGATGTTCCAGAAGGGTGATACCCGTACCTACTACGATGACTCGGGTGGCCTCTTTTCCGCTATTCTCATCGTTAGTTTATAATTCGAAATCATCCTACTCTGAAAAATATGCACCTCTAAAAATATACACCAACAAATTTAATTTAAAATACTTGGTGTGTACATACTGTACAAATTGGTTCGATCCTGGGGTGCATTAAATGATGATACTTGTTGTTACCCTGGCTCTAGGAATTGACGGGATAAAACACGGACTGGTAGTTCGGAATTAGTTTACCGTTGAATGGGTTATTCATGTTAAGGGGTGGCGGGTAGCCTAGTGGTTAAACCGTCCGCTCGTCACGCCGAAGACCCGGGTTCGATTCCCCGCATGAGTACAATGTGTGAAGCCCATTTCTGGTGTCCCCGCTGTGATATTGCTGGAATACTGCTAAAGGCGGCGTAAAACAAACTCACTCACTCACTATTCATGTTAAACTGCGACATGGTATCTCAGTGGGCAAGCACGAGTGAGTGAGTGAGTGATTTTAGTTTTACGCCGCACTAAGCAATATTCCAGCTGTATATGGCGGCGGTCTGTAAATAATCGAGTCTGGACCAGACAATCCAGTGATCAACAGCATGAGCATCGATCTGCGCAATTGGGGACCGATGACATGTGTCAACCAAGTCAGCGAGCCTGACCACCCGATCCCGTTAGTCGCCTCTTACGACAAGCATGGGTTACTGAAGATCAATACTCTAACCAGGACCTTCACGGGTGGGCAAGCACGATAAACCAGATGAAGTCTGGTTAACTGAGCGAGTGAGTGAGTGAGATAAAGGTTCACGTAGCATCAACATTATTTCACCCACATGTCGATAAGACCAAGTTCACAGGTAAACTGACACTAACTGCTTAAATCCACACAATTTTAGGATGGCTCGATCAGTCAGTTTAATCTGAAGGCCACAAAACCAAACAGTTGAGAAAATGCTACATAAATAGATCTTATTGGTTCACCCATGAGTGAATTTGGTTTTACGCCGCTTTTAGCAATATTCCAGCAATATCAGAGCGGGAGCACCAGAAATGGGCTTCACACATTGAACCCATGTGGGGAATCGAACCCGGTAGACGAGATAAAGCTTTAACCACACCGCTACCCCACCGCCCCACGTATGTCTTTGTCCTCATCGGTAACATTATCAATGTGGGGCGGTGGGGTAGCCAAGTGGTCAAAGCTTTTTCTCGTCACGTCGAAGACCCGGGTTCGATTCCCCCTATAGGTACAATGTGTGGAGCCCATTTCTGGTGTTCCCCGCCGTGATATTGGTGGAATATTGCTAAAAGCGGCGTAAAACAACACTCACACTCACTCACTCACTTTGCATATACTACTGAAAAGAACACGAAGAACGTCTAATTCATTCATGCTATGATTAGTTATCATGCCATAATTCTGCGGAGGAAGTACAGTATTGTTTTGTTAAAATTCAATGCATATATTTGTCACAAAACACCACTCGATAAAGTAAACAGCTTATTTGTTACATTTATTCAATATACTTGGGAATTTACCGACCGTTTCAGACTCGGTCTATGTATTGCCTGAGCTAAATGTTCGTATATGGTTTGGGTGCAAATGAAAATTGTATCATCTGTAAACATCTTTATATTTTCCATATCTTTTTACCCTTTGTTGACGAATTCTGTCTCCGCGGCTCTTTAAATCTAAACTGACGTACAAAAGAAAGTATACATTTGTAAGTCACAATAAAAACACGTTTCAAAATAATTTAAGTTTTGTTTAAAAGTGATAATCCAAAAACAGGTGTTTACTTTCTTTTGTGCGTCAGTTTATTTGTACTATAAACTAATATTCAAACAGATGTTCACATATAATGTGTACATTTCACATGTCGTCGACAAGGTCAGACAGTGCGAGAATGTTGAGAAATGTCCTTCTGCTGCCATTTCGAATCAAAGACTCCAAGACTATTAAAGACGCGTGATTTGTGTAGTGTCTATGATTAAACAACATGACGCTGGCCCAAGGACACAGTTGTCAGACACTACACTCGTGTCAAGGCAACAGTACTTTCCATTATTTATGGAACGCGCGTGTTTACAATGTACTTTATCTTTGACCAGAAAGGGTGGAGACACTTTCCGGTAAGTTTAAAGTCCATGTCCAAGTTACCTACTTACCACGCCTTGGCGCTGATCCAGACAAACTTATCTCCATTTTATATACTGTAAGGAAGTTTCCGTACCACGTGAGGGTCATGTCATTTGAAACGGGAAACAGAATATATTGGGTGAGTGAGTTTAGTTTTACGCTGCACTCAGCAATATTCCAGCTACCATAGTGTTTAGCGGTCTGTAAATAATCGTGTTTAGACCAGACAATACAGTGTTCAACAGCATGAGCATCGATCTGCGCAACTGGGATACGGTGACATGTGTCAATCAAGTCAGCGAGCCTGACCACCCGATCCCGTTAGTCG